TGTTTTAGTTTAGGATTCTTGCTTAATATAAATACTTTTCCGTTAAGCAAGTTGAGGATCTTCTTTGACCTTTTCTTAATTGTTCTCTTAGATTTTCTCTCTCTACTTAGCTTTTAGATTAGTTTCTCTCTCTAACACTTTTTTCTTAACTCTACTCTTAATTCCAGATTATTTTGGCAACGATTTCTTCTACTTTAATCTCAGTTATTTATTTTAATTCTTTCATCATCTCTTATTTGATTGCTTTGATTAGTTTAGATTTAATTATGTGTGAGTAGTTTCCTTTCTAGGGTTTGTGGGGATCCATAAATAATATGAAGGGGTAATTTATTGTTGTTGATTATTAATGCTAGATTAATTTCCTATTGATTGATTTAATGCTCTGTGACTAGATTAGACCTGATCTTTTATGCATGAGTTTGACAATATTGATTAGAGATTCAAGAGATGAGAATTGATGTTTATATCTAGTTTCAATAGTCATGGTTAAGTCGAGATTCGAGAGATGAGATTTAATACCGGTAGATTAATTCTGTGATTGTAATTTGTAGCGAAAGCCCTTTATGATCTGATTTATTGATGCATTGATGTTTGATTACTATGCTTTACCCTGGAATGTTATTTATTGGTGAGCCTATGCCCTAGGTCTTTTATTCATTGATTTCCTCTATTTTATTTCTTCCCTACTTTACTCTTAGTAGTTTATTATTCCTTTTATCACAATATATTAGTTACTTTATAATTTAGATTGCTTTAATTAATTAGGAATAGAAAGACCAGTTTTCCTGTGGATTTGACCCTATTTCCCTATCTACATTAGTTAGAGGATTTAGGAATTACTTTTGATTAGGTGATACGACTTTAGCCTATCATAAATATTGATGCAATTGGTCCAAATTGAAATTTACTGGATACAATATTAACCGGGGGGGGAAAGGTGACGTTATTTCACTATTGAAAATTGCTTATCAAAACTGACGAAAGAATACACACACTAGACTGAGTAAACAAAAAAAAATAAGATAAAGAATAAAAGAAAAAGAAAAAAGAAAAAAAAAAAGAAGAAAAAGAAAAAGAAAAAGAAAAAAAGAACAAAAAGAAAACAAAACAAAAAGTGAATGTCAGAAGCTCAGAGCTCATTTATTAAAATGTGAATGTCAGAAGCTCACAACTCGTTTAGTTTTGGTGAAAGGAATGTCAGAACCCATTAAATTGTGGAGAACGAACAAAAGTGAAGAAAATCATGCAACATCATTTACAGAAACTCAATACACGATCCGAATTTTCAGCTGTCTTTACTATTCATATATACTTCATTTCTACGCGTTGTATTCACAAGTATTTCCCGTTTACTCTTGTCCATACAATACTAAATTATCCTTAGATAAATATCGATGGGTTTGGTCCGAACTTATATTTATCGGATCAACTATTAATTGCGGGACAAAAAGACAAAGACATTATAACAAGCGTACATAAAAGGAGGTCTCTTTAGTATTACAACATATAGTACCCATTTAGGTGTGGAGATTTTTGTCATTTCCCTATACTGGTTGGGAATGAGTCTTTAGAGTAGTGGACTTTATAGCTTAGATAAACTGGTCATATAATATAGTAGTGCACAAATTGCAAAAATCACTAGATAAAATAAAAAGAATAAAACTTACTCTAGCAGCCTAAGTGAACATACTAATATACTTATTATATTCTAAAAGAGTAAACAACGCTTGTTTATAAAGAAAATGACATATTCCCCTAATGAGACAAAAAATTATTGTATTTTATACTATATGATTATTATACATACACGTATAAAAATACGGTCTAAAATACTCACTTTTTATTATAAAAAGAAATTACCCTTATCCAAATCTCCACTCACCACTTAATTCTTATCTTCTTCCATCTTCGATCTTACCCGAAAAACCAAACAAAAAAAACCACCATTAAACTCGGCCACCATGTTTCAAGAAAACCAGGAAGATCAGCTTGTCTTCACCTTTGAGGAAAGCATGAAAATGATAAGGGTGTACTTCATGTACATTGTGGGGCTAGTGGTTCTCCCAATGGCCGTATTAATTTACTTGTTAATCCACAAGTAAAGCCCGAAAATTACTTCAGTAGAGCAGGGTAAAAATACATGTAGTGTTAGCTATACTTCAATTTAGTAGTTTAGAAGTACAAATTGTAACATGTATTTTGGAAATTATAAATAAAAATCATTATTATTGCTTGTTTTCTTCGTTTTAAATAATAAAACAAACTTCATTAAATTTATAAAAATATTTAGCAAAATAATAATAATTATTCGCAAAAAACGATAACTATAATAATAAAAGATAATTAATAGTGACAATTACAAAAGTAGGATCAAAATTTGGTGTCTACAGCTGGTTGAAATTTTGGGTGAAAGTTCAAATGTTGGGTGAGAATTTTGGCTGAAATTTTGTTTTATGGTGAAAGTGGGCCCCATTGTGTAAGCCTATGGGAGGCTGCCAGCTAGTGTTGTATGTGGGCCTACACATACAAGCATTGCATGTGTAGCCTTTTCTTTACTCCAACAACTATATCAAGTCCTAGATGTTGTCAACACAAGGGGGAGCCGGCGAGGCCGAAACATTCAAGGGACACATTGTAAATTTGCAATTTAGCTATTCATAAAAGGAAAAATTGTCAAAAATAATACAAACTTTGAGCAATCCGCCAAAAACAAGTTAAACTTTTAATTATTTTTTAATAATACAAACTTTGAGGGTTATCCGTTTTAAACAAGTTAAAACCGATTAGTTACCTCATGAATTGGTTATATGGAATACGTGACATTGTATTATTTTTTTATTAAACAACTTTATAAGATAAATAAAAAAATAACCGGTTAAATAAGTTGTAGGTAAAATAACTTGTTTTAAGTAGATATCCCTTAAAGTTTGTATTATTTAGAAATAATTAAAAGTTTGTCTTGTTTTTAGCGAATCACTCAAAGTTTGTATTATTTTTGACAATTTTTCCTTCATAAAATACTCTACTTGTAATCCTATTGATCAACGATTTTACATTGTGCAAAGTTTGGTAAAACCTCAATCTAACAGCGGTTTTTACATATTTGGATTTTCCGCGTCACCAATTCCTTTTGTCATTTACTTTAATTCTTTATTGCTTTTGTTTAATGTTTTATTTAGTTGATTCACATCCTAGATATAGCTATTCAATCCTATTTGTCGAAATCTATTAACTAATACTAAAACAAAAAATGTTGACATCATCCCTTTCCCAAATTGTACACATCTCTCATATAAAATTTTTTCCCGCCAATTTACAGTGATGACATCATCGGTTTAGTTTTTTAAAATAACTTTTACCTTTTGTTTCTATCTAATAAACTTTTCATATGCTTTACCATTTGTCTGTACCAAATCTTTTTTAACAGGTATGTTAATATTTTAATGTTCAAAAGTGTTCATTGTGATTTATTTATTTATTTATTTTTGTATTTTACAAGTTGTATTTTACATTAAAAATTAATTACTTACTATGTATATAAAAAAAAATTATGGAGTAGAAAACTGAAAATATTACGTGGACCTGGTCCACAATAATATTATTGTGGACCTAAGATTTATACACACGTAACTGGCATTATATTCAACATAGTGACTAGGGATGACAACGGGTCGGATCTGGACCGGGTCCGGATGGACCCGAATTCAGATCCGTTTTTGTATATAGGATCCAGATCCGACCCGGATCCGTCGGGTCTAGAAAATGAAAACCCGGATTCGATTTCAAAACGGGTCCAATATATTTTGCCTTATCTTTTGCAATAAATGTAATGTTCGGGTCAAAAAAATTTATTTCAAGCTTACGTTGTTGGTTATTAAGTTCAACCCCAAATTAACCAACTTATAAACTCATATTTTGAATTAAAATTATAAATAACAAAAAAAATACGATGTTACTTATGAGCTAGTGAAAAAACAACGATGATTATATAATATGAGAATCCAAAATTCATCTCTTGAAAGGGTTAATCTTTATCATTATCAACATTTTTAATAAAGATACAAACGATTTTAGTTTTTTTTTAATAGGAAAAATAATAAAAAAAAAACGGGTCTACGCATTTGGATCCGGGTCTAGGGCCCAGACCCAGATCCAGATCCGTTTTTGTTAGTAGGACCCGGATCCGACCTGGATCCGTTGGGTCCAAAATTTGAAGACCCAGATCCGTTTCGGATTTGGATCCACGGATCCGGGTCGGGTCCAGATCCATTGCCATCCCTAATAGTGACCCTTAATTTTAATATATTAACCTTATTTTTTAACAAAGTAACCTTTTTTTACAACTCGTGCGACTTTTAATGTTATTATGAACTTAAAGTATGGCATTATATTAAATAGTGACTTAATTTTAACATAGTGGTGTTTATTATTCATATTGACCATTGCATTAAAAATTTCATTAAAAAAAATTAATTAACCTCTTATAGCTTATAACACACTACCTTTTATTTCAACATAATAACCTTTATTTTAATATAGTGACTTTTTTTATTAACAAAACAATCATATTGTCTCTAATATTGGTGGTCCACAATAAATTAATGTGAACCAAGTCCATTTAATAATTTGTAGAAAAACTTTCTTTCTCCGTATCATAAACAAATCTCATACTTTCTCCATTTTTTTTATAGTTGTAAAAATTTGACTTCTACACTATTTATGTGTTTCACTTTGACTAGCTTTAACGATTTATACATAAATAAAAATATAGTCATGTGAGATCTTGTTATATTCGTCTTGATCTATAAAATTTTAATATCTAAAGTTTATAATTTTTAAATATTGGTAATTAAAAATGTTGTAATATGTTTGTTTAAAATCGTGCATTGCATGGAATTTAAACTAATTTAGCATAAAAAGAAACATCATATAACTAATATATAAAGCTAAACTTTTGAGTAAATATAAATTGAAGGTACTAACGTTTGCCAAAAGTTGCACATAAGGTACTAACATTTCAAAAGTTGCACAAAGGGTACTGAACTTGTTATAGGAGGTAAACAATCCGGTGAAAACTTGTTAAACCGGTTGGAACAAGTTTTTGGTTTATTAAAAAAAGGAAAAATAATTAAATAGGGATACGTGTGCTTCGGGAAGGGAAAAAAAAGGCTAATTTGTACATTAGGAAACGAAAAACATCATTACTTTTCACCTTTCTCCCTCTTTAACACACTCACTCTTCCAAGCACCAAGAAATCATGAAAATGGTGGAAACTTCAATTTCAACCTATTTTGCTTGTTTTTCAATTGCTTCTATGAAAACTAAAACCTCCCCATTTCCATTACTCTCCCAAAGGTATCTTTAATTTCACCCAATTTAATTTCATTGCATTTTTTTAATTTTTAATGTAGTTTCTAATTATTACGATATATTTTAGGGAAATGTTTGAGAGTGTATTTCATTTGGGAATATTTGATTATCAAGGATATTAATTGATTCTCTAGGATATTATTTCCCATATTTATCTTCTATCCCATGCTTTAGCTAGTGGTATTCGACTGGGCTTAGTAAAAGTCAGACATTGTATTATATATTTGTTGCCCATTGTATCAATAAACAAGACCAATATTCTTTGTTTCTACACTAATTCATTTTTTTACAATTGCAGAAGCTCAAGTAAATCGATTGTTTCCGTACTATCCAATTACTCCTGTGATTATTCATCTATTTTTGGTAATTTGATTTCTTACTATCTACAAATTTATCTTTTCAAATTGTTTTCTGAATTTGAATTGTTTGAGGATAATTTTGATTTGTTACTGAAACTTATAATTAGACTTATTAGCTGTGAAATTATTATTTTTGTTGATTTGTTACCGAAACTTATAATTAGACTTATTTTTGTTGATTTTCCTGTAATTTTCAGACATGTACTCTTTTAAAAAAAATAACTTTGTATTTCCTGTAATTTTTGTAATTGCTTCTTCTGATTTTTTTTTTTCAATAGATGCAAGGTGGAGAAGATGGCTATGGAGATGAGTATATATGGAAGTCGGTTTTTTTGGAGTTGTACCAGCTATAATTTATTTAACTGATAGATTTCTTGAACAATTGCAAACCTCAGTCCCCTCTTTATTAATGTCAGAATTTTATTTTTCCATTTTTTTTTGTTTGGTTAACCTTTTGTAGAAGGTCAATTATGTGGTGAGTACTCTATCTGCAACTTTTGAAACGTTAGTACCTTATGTGCAACTTTTGGCAAACGTTAGTACCTTCAATTTGTATTTACTCCTAAACTTTTAGCCAAACCACGCAACAACGACACTTGGCGTTCCAACTTTTCGCCAAGTATCGCGCCACGTTGGATGGAATTAAAAAGACTTCGTAGGATGAAAAAGTGAAATTAGAATTCTACTTTTAACCAAATTTGGATAAAATTTAACGATAAAATTGTTAGTTTAGACTTTTATTTTCGATAAAATACCATTATTGCATTTATACAAATTGATTTATAATTTTATTCAAATATTTAGATTATAACTCTCAATAATCATCATATAAATTTATTTTTAATATCATAATATTTTTGGAGCGAACGAAGTAGTTCAAAACGTACAACATCCATTTATAATATATTTTAATCAATTAAAATAAAGACTTGTCAATCGGGTTGGGTCACGAATCATTTCGGATAGGGCCACTTCAGGTTATGGGTCAAGAAATGTTCAGCCGAATCCCAAAGTTTTGGGTTTGGGTCAACACAACAGGCTTAATTTTTTTTTTCATTTTATTTATTTTTTTTTTGCTAATTTTTAGAAATTTCTAATAATTCATACTTCCTTCGTTTTTTAATAATTGCAATACACCCCTTTTCACGGCATTTAAGAAAAAGTGGGTCTCATGTGATTTAAAACAATTAAAATGGAAGAGAGAGATAGTTAAGAGTATAATTTAGTTGCCATGAGATTATAATAGGATAATAGTATTCCCTCCGTCCCTGAAAGAACGACTCATTTGGCCTAATTTTAGTCCCAAAAAGAATGACTCATTTATTTTTCCCAACATCTATTCATATCCCTTCCTTTTAAAGTATCATCTTGGCAATCTTGTGTATTTTAATTATATTGGTTGTTGTAAAACAATACTTTAATCTTATTGGCTAATAAAGCATCACATGAATTAGTGCATTATTACATAATGTTTATTAGGCATACGATAAAGATAAAAACTTACACCTAAGCCTTTCTCTCTCTAGATATTAATTGCAAATTATGCTAACTTGTGTTTTTCCATACATTTGTACTTGCAAATTAAGTTTCTTAATACCCGCAAAATCAACCCAAATGGGTCGTTCTTTCAGGGACGGAGGGAGTACAACTTTTGACATAAAATATTTTCCAATTATAGTGTGTTGCAACTATTGTGACTATTCCATTTTAGGGAAGTGTTGCAACTATAAAAAAAACGGAGGAAATATTTACTTTGTTTTTTTTTTTAATGTATTTAATCGAGCAATTATTATTAGTTATTACATGCCTACGACATAGATTAAATCATCACAAAAGCACATCAATTCCTAACTAATTTCGTATCAATGATATATTTTAAAATTTAATATATAGATTAAAAATTTATCTTAAAATTCAATAAACTATCCGGGCATAGCAGGGGGCAAAACTTGTGTCAATTGAAAATAAAGTTATTCGTATTAAAAAAAAATATCTATGTTAACTAAAAAAGGAAGGGAATGTTAAGAGTTAATTAATTTAGTCATCAATTATGGTGTGAATGTCCACACTCCATTTCTTCATTGCATTTAATGTAGTAGCTAAACCTCGTTGCCACCCTCTAAGTTTAATTTATATCCCACAATGTAATAGTGATTTTTACTACTATAAATAGCCATGCAAATTCACTTGGATGATACACACAAAAATATTACCAAGAGTAATATATATAAGTAGTAATTCTACTTCTCTTATAACCTTCTTCTATCCCCTAATTTCTATATATTTTAACACGTTATCAACACCATCTTCAATCAGGTATACTTATACCGATTATCCAATTTTACAAAAATTAAATTTCTTTCACAAAAATATATTTTGAGGAGTATGCTCTATAGTTTCCCTTACGGGATCCTCTATACCAGAAACTCATAATATATTTCTCCACAAAATTACTCTACATAATTAGCCATGTTGATGAAATGAGGATATCAATACATACTACATTTATGATATTTAGTTTGGTTACTCTCATGCATGGTTATAGGTAACATATAATTACTTTTACATGTGGAAATATTTGATTCATGTATGATAATAGAGTCAATTTCATGGTCACACAAATCATGTTCATACTTACTTACTGGTGAGAAGGGGATAAGGATTGCATGGTGAAATACGGGGGGTGTAATCCGCTTTTATAGGTAGTGAATTATCCATATCATGATAATAGAGTCAATTTCATGGTCACACAAAACATTATTCACTCCGGCCACGAACCATGTTCCCCGTCGACAACCGACAACCACCACACCCCTTTACCTTTGAAGAAGATTTAAGAAAATTAAAGCTATACTTAGTTTTAATTATGGCCTTAGTGGTTTTATTAATGGCAATGATGATTTTCATCATTTTACATAAGTAGAGTTCGGTTTTTTCGAAAAAAGGGAATTAATGCATGTGATCTCCGTAGTACTTCAAGATTTTTTTGTCTTCTAGGTAGATTATAAGTACATTTTTTTATAACTAAGCGTAGGCCCGCGCGCTACGCGCGCGGTCCCCCAACGTTATTTTGTTTATGTAATTAGTGCATGATTAGTCGGTGTGTATGTGTTAATGTAGGTTAATTTGGAGAGTGATTAGCAACTTGTACTATTTAATGTCTTATAATGGAAACTTTAGTAGCTTACTTTCAAATTGTTCGTTTGATGAGTGTTAGAAGTGAAAGTATTAGGCCCAAAAGCAATTAATTGGCAAAGCATATCAAGCCCAAATGTTTGTACATGCAAATACTCCTTATTGATTTAGATGATCTGTGAATGAAAAGAAACTAAAATTGTAGGTAAACTATAAAGTAATGCAAAATAACAAAGAACTATCAAATATTTTTGATATGGACAATAGTTGAATAATGTTTGTTTTTGTTTTTTTTTTTTTTTTTTTTTTGTGCAATTTGAAAAACACACTAATTGTAGAATACAAATTTATATTCATTGTAAATTCCAATACTTTTGCATTACATGCAAAATCTTCTTCATTTTCTCCCAACATGCAAATTCCTCTAAATCGAAGATTTTTATATGTTGGCGTAATTTTTCCAAGTTTTTTTGTAGGAGCCGGGATTATTTGATGAAAGCTAATTCCATTTTTTTGTAGGAGCTAATTCCACATAGCTGCTTTTAGTGCGTAATTAAGTGTCGTTTATCCTTTAATGTAATTCGCTATATTTCGATTGCTTATTTTGATATGCTTTGATTGGTCATGAGTCTTGTGTTATTTGTGGGAAATGTTTTGTTAGATTATTTAAATTTGATTAGGCTATACGAGATGACTTTAATTTTTTGTATACTAATGTAAATTAGAAAGTAATCATTAAAATAATTTGATGTTTAATATAAATTTCCATTGTAGGAGTTGAATGTTTATGGTATGACTAATACTTGATCTTTTGTGATAAGCCCAATATATTAGGCCCAAACTATTAGATTTGGACTTAGAAACTAAATTGCAACACAAATGAATAATACCTATTATTTTAAAAGATAGCAATGTGTCTGCTAGTTTGATTGCATGGGAATTTTTTGTTGTTTTATTTTATTTTGACTTAGATTTTTTAATAATGCCGTGAAAGTGTAAAATTTTTTAAGATTATGATTTTTTTTATTTAAACTTATAGTACTAAACGTTGGTAATAGTAATACAAATGGTATCCCTTCTAAACTTGAGTAATACAAATGATAATTGGTTTATTATTATTATTATTATTATTATTTTTTTTTTTATAATATCGAGTCCACTTCTTTAGTTTTTTATGAGATATAGCCTGTAAATGTGAGGTGATAGTTATTTTCAGAATCAGTAACATTACCTAAAAGGTACAATTAGTCCACCATCCACTTCTTGGTTAAATTTGAAGACTATTTGGCTAGTGATAGTTATTTACATTATTCACTTGAGCTTCATGGATGTCACAGCCTTCTTTGTTATGCATGTTTAACATCACTTTGGAGTCTTGGTATGATCTTAGCATTAGAATCAATTTAAGTTCGGTAACTTGCAAAATACGAGAATTGAATGTAAAGAATACAGAGGAATATTAAAACAATGAAAAAGGACTAAATTACATTTAATAAGTAAAAGTAATTATAATATTGACTGTCCTTGTAAAAAGAATTATAAGGTAATATTGTAACTTTACATTCTTTAATCGTAAAATACAATTTCTTCTAATGATATGTAAAACTTTTTTCGCTATTAGCCATCCAACGTGAAAAATCCTCCAAAATTAAGTTGGTCGGTAGGAGATGATCTACTATTATGGAATGTTATTCCATTTCTTTCTTGTAGACACTGTTTCGGGGTCTTCTGATGTCCTGCGGGAGAGTTACAATTCCGAGACTGGAACCGGACGCCTGTACCTGCAAAATAACGGAGACTCCTGGGAGCTCCGCCTCCAACGGTCAAGTTAGTACCTGATTAAGGAGTAATTAATGCGGAAATTAAAGTAATAAGGTCTCTCTAGGTGAGAGCGTTTAATGTTGGTAATCTGCTTTGTTAGCGAGATCAGCCGGTTATTAGTGTGTTCCGTAACGTTTCTGTTCTGTTCTCTTCTTCTTAATGAGGATTAATTAAGTATTTATAGTCTTGAGAAGCGTGCCACTCTCTAGGTTTAGGGTAAACCTAGGGCTGACCGGGCCTCTAAACAGGATTGGGCCTTGTTGGCCGGTTTTCCCATTTGGCATGGGTGGACACGTGGCGTGTCTCAATTGGTCCGTAGAGGACGTATCTGTGATTGACACGTGGCGGGCTCCTATTGGCCTACGTGAAGGACACGTGGCGGAACCTGGTTGGTCCACTTGTCAGACGGTGATTGGTGGATAAAAATCCCCTAATCATTTTCCCCTCACAGGTGGCACGTGACTGGTCACGTGTCACCTGTGACAGGTGCCGCACGATGACAGGCGACGGCCTGCTACAGGTGTCACCTTGCAAATGGCCGAGAGATTTTCCCGCCCAAATTTTGAATTTGGAAGCGA